ACTGGCCAGTATCACGTAATTTCCCAACACTGGGGAAGGTACTGGTGGTTTAACTTAAAACAGGTCCTTATGGTCCTGGCTCCATATCCATTCTGGGGAGCGTCAGTCCGGTTCCTTTCCACCGGCAAGTCGAAATTGAAATACATGGTGAACACTCACACGCTTCCTTCCGTCTGGCCGAAGGAACCCTGACCAGCATTGATTGCTCCCTATCAGGAGGATTGATTGTCAGCTTGCCCACCCACTTTTCCTCTAAGAGACTACAGTGTCTCTGCCACATAGTACGTATAAAGCAAGAAAAGGGGAGAGTTGTCTAGACTGTTGAGATTATAATCTCAGTTTGCTCTTCAATGGGTCCCTGTTCTTGTGTTATGCCACTTCTTCCACACCATTCTATTGTCCACCACAGTGGTGATCTTTCCCTGTAGAAGCCAGTCTCTTATGAATTTACATCTCTTTGTGGCTATCCTTTCTGGTCTGCCTTTCGTCGTCAAGGTCACTTCTCGCCATCTGGATCGGATCTCTGTTTCAGCCATTCTCAGCAGTAGAGCCCACATTTCTTCTCTTGTCACTTCAGTTCCTTCGATCGTCTTGGAGCATCTCCTCTTCCAGATTACCCATAGGGCTAGCTTTCTGAGTAGGTGGAACCAGACTTCCTTGTCGCCTTTGAGATTGTTAGTGTCGTTAGATAGGAGCAGGATGTTCAGGGGGTTTGTGGCCGGGGGAGGAGATGAGAAAAGAATGGTCCATAGGTCGCGCACTTTGTTCCAAATCCATGTTGCTTCCGTGCAGTATAGGAGGCAGTGGGGTATGTCTTCCAAGGCGTTGTCTGTGCATAGTCTGCATATATCAGTGTTGTCGGGGTCTGTGTGCTTTCTTCTCTTGTGGAGCCACTGATTGGTTGGCAGAGAGGCGTGTGCTAAGAGCCATTGCATGCTTCAAATCCTAGCCGGTCTAATGGTTAGGAATTTTGTCCACGGAATGGATATGGTGGCCGAGGGGTCCAGACTCAGTATCTCCCTCCATTTTCCTTTGAGCCTAGGATCTGGGTCTGTGGTTTGTAGGCCTAGCTCGTAACCGAATTTGACGTCGTATTCGGCTATTGTTCTAGTCCTCCCAGAATTTCCCTGTTTCCATAACCATTCTTTCGGGTCGAATTCTAACTCTGAGATGCTGAGGTCCGGTTGAAAGATTTTCCAGGGTTTGGCCTTTGACACCCTCACTTTCCTCAGTCGGAAGGCCTCGAGTATGTCGTACTGGGGATCTTTGTTCTGGATTTCCAGCTCATTTGTGCTGTGCTTAACAACGGGGTAGGAGTAGAATTTGGATAGGTAGCCGTGTGGGCTGGTTCTAATGACGAATCTGTATGCTCTAGTAGGCTGGGCTTGGGTGACTAGTATGCCCCAGTCCCCGGATTTCCACGAGAATTCCTCTCTTTGGAGTTGGGATACTATTTTGGATCAGTGTTAGGTTATCGGAGAGGGTGTGGCAGCCTTTTAATGTGTTGCGTAGTTCCTGATCCGTTGCCCATCGTCCTTGGTCTTCTACCCAGATGTGCTTGACCTGCCACACGCCTTTTTCTACCCAGGATAACCATCCGCACTCCCGTGAGCGCAGGGTCCAAGTCGTTCCACTGGAGTCAATGATCCACGGATTGCAGAAGAGCGGTTGTCTCAGGACTTCTTCTCTGTTACCTGGTGCCCCGTGTTTACTCGGCATCATTTTGCGTGGGACTCCAATATGTGCTGACTGTTTGAGTGGGGTTTGTGTTGAGCTGTGCAGGGTTGTGTTGTGCGGGGTTTCTCCTGCATGGTCTGCCGGACTTGATTGTCCAGTCCTTTGCCATGAGCCAAAACAGGTCGTTCATGTTTGGAGGGGAGTTGATGGGAGCTAAGTTTCTGATACTGTCTAGCGCCATTTGGGTCCACGGGAGGAACTGTTTGGTGAGAATCTTGATTATCCATTTCATCTGCAGTGCTATGGATTCCTGTTTTNTCTAGCGCCATTTGGGTCCACGGGAGGAACTGTTTGGTGAGAATCTTGATTATCCATTTCATCTGCAGTGCTATGGATTCCTGTTTTGGGTCGATTATCTCGAGGCCCCCTTCTTGTGGCTTCCTAGTGTTGTGGTTCCATGCGACCCTGTTGATGCAAGTGTTCCTGTTGGGGTCACCTGTCCACAGGTAGCATCTCACCCTGTTTTTAAGCTCCTTGAGGTCGTTGTGGGGGGGGGACCAGATGGATGCCATATACCACAGTGTGGAGAAGATTGCTGTGTTGACAAGTAGTGCACGTCCGATTAGTGAGGCCTGGGCGTTTTTGCACAGGGTCAGGCGAGTGATTGCTCTAGCTATTAGGTTCTGGCCCATTCCTGGCCACACTCCTTCCTTATTGATCATAATGCCCAGGAACCGTAGTGCTTGCTCACCTGTGGTCCAAGTCATGGGTGTGGTTGTGTCCGGTGGTTGGGGAGGGGTGCCGTCTGCTAACCACCATCCTTCGGTTTTGTTCCAATTGACCCTCATTTCTAATGCCACTCTGAAGGCTTCCATTGCCCTTACCAGTGCTTGGAAAGAGTTGTTGTTTGCTCTAATGAGTACCGTAAGGTCGTTCGTGAACATGAGTGCAGTGGGTAGGGCGAAGTCGTGTAACGGGTTGAAATTCCGTTCTGTGAGGTGGTCAATGGACGGGTCTTTGCGGAGAAAGGAAGCTATGACTTCCATTATGAAGAGGAATATGGGAGGAGTCAGTGGGTCGCCTTGTCTGACTGAACGTGGAATTGGATAGGTTTGGACTCTTCCGGTTGCGTCTGCGTACAGAACTCTCACCCAACTTCTGAAGTTCGGGCCTACCCCCATTTTCTCCATGCATGCATGGAGAAAATCCCAGTTAACTTGGTCGTAGGCTTTCTCGAAATCGAACAGGATTGCAGCCTTCATTCGTTTTTCTGTGATCTTTTTTGCCGCCTCATTCAGAGTCATCACGTTGTCCAATATGTATCAACCTGGGATGAAACCCGCTTGGTCGATGTGAAAACAGTTGTTCGTTAGTTTTGTGATTTTGTTTGCAAGAGCCTTGGCGAGGATTTTGTACGGCGTGGTTAGTAGGGAAATAGGTCTGTACTTTTTCAGGTCTTCTTTGTCTCCCTTCTTGTACAGCAGTGAGACCACACTGGTGCTCAAATCCTTTCCTAGGCCTCCTTTGCGCATGCTTTCGTTGAAGAAGTCGAGTAGGTCCTCTCCCAGGGTCGATCAGAAGAAGTTCCAGAATTCCTTAGAGAGGCCATCGATGCCCGGGGCTTTGTCATTTCCCATCTGGTTCAAGGCTATGTGTAGTTCGGTCAGGGTCAGTGGTTTATCCAGGCCTTCCGCCTTACTGGTCGAGATGGTTCTGTCGAGGTACGACAGCATCAGTTGGCGGGCTGCTCGGTTCGCTGTTGTCGGGGGTGAGGGAGTCTTGGATTCGTATAGATCTGCGTAGAAGGATCTGGCTATCCCTACCATCTCAGGGCCTGTTGTTTCTGTGCTTCCTGCATGTGATGGGTCTTCGAGGGCCTCTATCATGTTGTTCCTTGCGTTCGCCTTGATTTTGGAAAAAAAGAATTTTGTCATAGACTCGTTAAGTGCATAGTCTGTCATCCTTGCTCGTATTTGTACACCTCTGAGTTCCCATCTTCTCCATTGGTTTAGTTCTTCTTTAGTGTCGTCTAGTAGTTCTTGGTAGAATCCACTGGTTAGATCCACCGCCAGATTTGCTTCTGCAACAGCCATGGCGAACTGGAGTTCTTCCCTTCTTCTTTTGCGGTCTCTAGCAATATCTCTTGATTCCGCTGAGACTGTCCGTGTTAATTCTGTGTAGCTGTCAATGAACCATTGGTGGCTGTTTGTCTTCTTTGATTCTCGCTGCTTATTGAGGGCCCAGTTTTCTTGGACTGTTGCCGTCATTCTTTCTGTTTTTAACAAGGAGTTGTTCAGCTTTAAAAAAACCTGGCCTGTTTGAACTGGTACATTCAATTTGAAGTTGAGCAGCATCTGGATAGGTTTGTGGTCCAGTCCTTCGAAGGCTGTTGATGGGAGGATTTCGGCCTCTTTGACTGTTCCTAGTAGGCTCTCGGATATGAGGAAGTAGTCAATCCTGGATAGTGAAGTCCGGTTGGCTTGGTTCCTCCTTATTCGGGAGAAAACTTTCTTATCCAGATGCAGTGGCCTGAGGGGGTCGCAGAGTTCGAATTCAGTCATCAAGTTCCGAATCCGGGTGCCCGCTCTTGTGGGTCCCATTAGTGCTGTTCTTGAGATCCGATCTAGGTTTGGGTCCAGGGTCGTGTTCCAGTCCCCTGCGATGATTATTGACTGTGGGTTGGGGATGAGGGATTTGATGTTTTCAAAGAAAGTTAGTCTGTCGGATTCCGTGTTTGGTGCGTAAAGGTTGAGAATTCGCAGATCCTCTCCTTGCCATTTGATGTCCAACCACGACCATCTCCCTTCCTCACATTCCCCCTCATTGTTTAGGATCTGTCCTTCGGTCGGGATTTTGGACGTTTTTGGGATCAATATCGCCGTCCCTCTATTGCTTTGACCGTCTTTGTTGGACCACAGGGCGACTGTGCATCCTCCTACAGATTTCTCCATCCTCTGCTGTATCTTCGGGTGACTGCTCAGATTGGATAGATGAGTCTCTTGGAGGAGTATGAGGTGGGGTTTAGGGTTATCCTTCCCCACCAGACAAGTCCGGATATCTCTAAGCTTGTCTTCGTCGGTCAGAATGTTCCCAAGGCCGTTGACGTTCCAACTAATTATCTGGAGCCCTTTAGCGTGCCCGTTTATCCTGGGTGGGCTGACCGGCCCGTTTCTGATTCCTTGGAACTCTGCATTGCTACTTATTATCTTTTTTTTTTTTTTTTTTTTTTTTTTTTTTTTTTTTTTTTTTTTTTTTTTTTTTTTTTTTTTTCCTTTTCCTTTCCTGTTTTTCTTTGATCTTTGGTGCCGTGTCTTCATTTTTGTTTGTGGGGTGGGGTTTTATTTTTACTGCGGTAAGTTATTCAGTCCACGACTGCCTGGGTCTTGCTGATGTCGGTGTCCGAGTCCCTGCTGTCCTCACTTGCTGCTGAGGAGCCCAGGCCGTACTCTCCAGCGCTGCTCTCCGACGTCGCCGGAGGCCCGGCGTCGTCTCCCCCTGGAGAGATCTTGTCGCCCACTTCCATCTCTTCTTCCTCTTCGTTCTCCATGTCCGATTCTTTCCTTCCCATGTCCACGTCGATGGGGGTCGCCTCGTCCTGCAACGAGGTCTTGGAGGTCAATAGGCGGGTCCTAATGATGTCAGCCAGCGAGTCTGTGATGATGTCGAACGTGCTGAACCTTCCGTTCAGCACGTTGTATGGCAGCGTTGTGATTGTGTCCCACGCCCTCCAGGTCAGGCCTTCGCTGAGTTTTGCTCTCTCATCGAGCTTGACCAGGATGGGGTCGAAGGGGGTGAAGATCTGTTTTTCCAGCACCTTCCCTTTGGTTGTCTGCTCTCGTGGCAGGATCCCAAGCACCCCCAGCGGAGGCTCGGCTCTGACATTGTCCCTGATGCTCTTGGCCAGGGCCCTGTCATCGTCGAGGGTGGGGATTGAGAAAGCAGCATTTGTGGCCACCTGCCACTCGTTGAATTTGCATCTGAACCGGACTGGGAGCAGCGGTCTTACTGCCCTGATGGTCCCCCTATCAGTGCTTGCTAATTTGGGGACACTGGGCGCCTTGTTTTTCGCGATCATACGAATTGTGATAAACTTCTCACCTCGCTCCTTTTTGTAGTCCTGGTTCTTATCGAACAGTCTCTTTGTCTGGGCTGCAACTGTTGCGATCTCCTGGGTGAGTCTGCGCTGTTCGTTCTTGCTGCCTGCTTCGTCCTTGGGGGGGGGCCTTGCTGATCTGGATTCTGATATTATCAGATCCTAGATTTCTAGTTGGCATTCTACATTAGCTAATTTCCTAATTGAGTCTTTTTGTGTAATGGCCAGGTTGAGTTGGCACCAGATCGATGCTGCCCGGAGCTGGGCAGTGCCCTGTACCCTGCTTGAGTAGGAGCTTAAGGCTTTGTATAGAGGCCTGGGATTGCCGAGGAAGGAAGGCAGTCTGCAAACTTGACTAATGGTTACAATCTGGCCGACGATGGTCGGAGCTAGGGTGGGTAGCACTGCCCTGTAACCAAGCCAGATTGGGGTGTGAGACCAGGCAGAGGCCTGACTGGTGCACAGCACGGGCTCAATTGTGATTGGTTGATTGGAATGGATACAAGAAATTAGCGATAGGATAGTATTTGAGTGTTGAGTAGACAATCATTTGATTGGTCATCATCTAGCTCTATTTCATGACCTCAATCATCCACTCTAACATCCTAAATCATCCTAAATGATCCTCAATCATCCCAAATTATCATAAATTATCGTGAATTATCATCAATCATCAATCATCAATCATCAATGTATTTCCATTATAAGGGAAGATGGGCCCGGTTCCCAATACGTGATGCTGCCCACGAATAGATTGGAGCAATTTTATTTCAAAAAATAAAAAAAGACCCTCGTCGACTTCACGCGCCCGCGGGGGGCTGGGGGGGGGGGGGAGAGAGAGAGAGAGAGAGAGAGAGAGAGAGAGAGAGAGGGCGACTTTGGGTGCGCCAAACTTGCAGGCTCTCTCAGAGTCTCTCTCTCTCTGTCCACGCGCATATGCGCAAATTTTACAAAATTTGAATGACTCTCCCTTCTTCCACGGGGAGATTCATTCTCATTTTGCAAATTCGAGGGTGCGCGCACTAGGTAGG